GAAGTGGATCTCTCTGTGCTTCTATGAAAGACCTTCAGAGATGTCATTGAACAAAGCAAGGTGCAGAACCGTGAGCAGTCTGAGCCCCCCAGTATTAAATGTGTTTATGTATGTACACATACTCCCAGAAGAGAAAGTGAGAAACAACATAATGTTTCTATTTTAGAAAGTGGTGGTAGGAAAACCCCTTACTTTTCATTTCATATTCGTCTGCAGGCTTATTTGAACAATCCATTTGCATGGTATTCCTTTTTTAACTTAAAAATTTAAATTCCCCCCAAATTACATTCTCAAAGGTTCTGTTTTAGTCTTCTTACTTTCCCTCTCTTAGTGCTGTCTAAGAGAGACATAACATGAGCTACACATGTAACTTCAAATTTTCTAGTAGCCACATCAAAAAAAAAAAGGGAAAAGAAGCAGGGAAAATTAATTTTAATTACTTATTTAACCTGATGTATTCAAAAGTTACCATTTCAACATGGAATCAATATAAAAATTACTAATGAACTATTTTACACTCTTTTGGGGGACCAAGACTTTGGAATCCAGTGTGTATTTCCCACGCACAGCACATCTCAATTCAGACCAGCCCCATTTCAAGACCTCAGTATCCACATGTGGCCAGTGTCTACCATATTGGACAGCATAACTCTATGCATTTCTTCTAAAATCTCACTTATGCTACGGCATCAGCTTTCAACTAGATGTATAAAATTCTCAAAACTGTATCTCTAGTCAAGGCCTGTTTTACAGGTTATCACCTTAAATTCCACCAATGTCAAACCACACATCTCCTTTATATCCATCATATAAAAAAAAAAAGAAAGAAAGAAAGAAAAGAAAACCCCAACTAGCATCTGATTTCCTAATTCCTTTTATGACACCAAAGTTCATCCAGTCACTCAGGGTCAAATTTCAGAGCAAAATTCATTCTTTCTTTCACCACTCTGAACCTCAGTTTTCTCATCTATAAACCAGCAGCTATGCTATTTAGCTCCCGGGTTGTGCAGATTCTGAAGGATAAAGGAAAGCACCAATCACAGGGGGTGGCGGACACACAATCTCCTTCTCTCACCCTGTTCACCTGATATTAGACATGACCTGCAGGATTATCTTCTTACTCAACAGTGACAGGAAGATACGTGCAGAAAGAAAGGAGAGAAGGATGGGGACTTCCCCACAGTGAGGTTCAGACTTTTTAAGATCTTTCATTCTTTTAAGCTTATAAAGGACTGAGATTCAGATTTGATCTCTTTAGAATCAAGAGATACATTTAGTTAGGAAGGAAACATTGGCATTCTCACAAGGGAATCTGTTGGCTCATTTAATTCTGATTCTGCAATCTAGCCCAGAGATCAGAGATGCTAATGTAACAGATTGCAAAAATATATATATATTCTCTTCATATCTGAATGGGAGATATGTCAGTAGAGATCAAAAGGAAGGGAGGAAACCGATTATTTGATCAATAGCACAAGAATATTATTACTACCTAACATTATGAATATTAGCTGTTACTTAGAATGACTTAGTCATATAACACTAAGTGCATGATAATTATGTAGCACAGAAACAGAAAATAAAGGATTACCGCCATTCTATCAGGTAGTGAGAGCTAGTGCACGTCTTAAAGAAAAAACTTAAATGTTGACTCAAAACCTCTTTTCCTTCCAGTCCATTCATCACCCCCAGTTTAGCTGCACTAGATTCTACCAAGTGAAATAAGAATTACTGCATTTGGCCTGACAATGTGTCCCCCATCTTAAACGGAAAGGTAAGCAAAGATATTTTAGAACTTGACTGGAAAAGTTAAATGAAAGTATTTAATTCAATAAATAGGTCCTTAAATTGAAGAAAAAGAAGAGATGAGATATTTTAGAATATGGTGGTCAGGCGCCTGTGCACCTGTTCTGGGGTCACAAATGGTTCCTACATGGACTGGAAGATGTAAGCTAGGAGGGAAGATGGAAAGGAAAAAATTAGAGGCAAAGAGAAATGAAAACTGGGGCTACGAAGCTGGTGCATAAAAAAAAAAAGGAGATAAGATATTATATCCGTGGATCTATTAGGAATAAATACAGAGAATCCACATTTGTGCTAAAGGTTTGTCTTTCTGAGCACCTGTTTAATTTTACTGAATCCCACCGAAGGAGAAAATAGGTATTTTTCCTTCTGTTTATGATAATGGCCATCACACTTGGATGAAA